TCTAGGATTCTCTATTAGCTTATATAAACCTTACCTATCTATTTCCCTTAGGTAGCTATTATTAGGGTTTTTATTAATAGCGCCTTTCCTAAATATCTTATTACTTTTTTTTATATTTATTAGCCTTATAACTTTTCTTATAGTAATAATAATATTTAATAATTATATTTCCCTATTAGATAGCACTAAGCTATATTAGGCCTAATTAAGTTCTAATAGAGGTATTAACTTATATTTATCTTTAGTTAGCGCTAAACTAAGAGGTATTAATCTTATTATTCTTAGTCCTAGGGTTCTATAGTTTTTTCTAAGAAAATTATTAATTATTAATCTTAATTACCTTATTAATATAATTAATAAGGTTATTAAGTTAATCTTCCTTATAGAATTTAATTTATATTTCTCTCTTAAGTCTATTAAAGAAAAAGGATATTAAGGGTTCTTAATCTTAATTAAGCTTTAAGGTAAGCTAAAGGTACTTAGTATTATATTCTAATATAGAGTAAGTTTATTAAAATACTTTAATTTCTCTTTTTACTTAAGACTTTTTATTTATTATTCTAAAAGCTTATTAGAATATAGCTTTAAAGGTCTTAAAGCTTATATAGAGACTTATAATTTATAATAAATATTTATTAAGCGGTTTAATAAGGTATTCTTTTATAATAAGTTTAAACTAAGCTATAATATACTTAATAAGATATCTCATAGCGTATTAAACCTTACTAGAGGCTATAATAAACTAAGTTAAGTAGTAAAGTATAAATATATATAGCTATATAAGAAATATTAATAGCTTATACGCGGTATTATTAAACTTCTTTAGTTATTCTAGCTTTAGGATTTCTCTTATATCTTTGCCTTTTATAGCGGTAATTACTATATTATTAATATTCTAGATATTCTTATAATATTATTAGTTTTAGGTTTACTAAGTAATAGCTATATAGTTAATAAATCCTTAGAGTTCTTTTATTTTAATAATTATAATAATAACTTAGGCATAAAGTTATTTAATTTCTTTATTATTATTAGGGTTAGCCTAAGCTAATATAATAAGAATAAATAAATAATTAATAAGTAAAACCTATTAATAGTTATTACTAAGAGTAGCCTAAGTAGCTATTATATTTAATATTATTTAAGGTAATATAAGTAATCCTCTAAATAAGAGCTATTAATATATAATAATTATAAGATTCTTAAGAGATAAATTAATTATATAGGTTTATATTAATAGAAGAGAATATTATATAGCCTTAAAGAGTAATATAAGTTATATCTAGTAATATACTTAAAGGTATTAAGTATAACTAAGTTATATTAATAGCTAAAGTAATTAATATATAAGAAAATACTAATAAATATATTCTATATATTTTATATAATAATAGCGATTACTATATTCTTAGATCTTAATTAAGGTAATTATTTAAGTAATTAGAATAATTAGATAGGTAATTACCGTAATTACTATAGTATTAAGAGTAATTACTTATTTAATTAGTAGGGAATAATAGGGTTTATCTTACGCACGTGATAGTGCTTATTAAGTTGTGATAATTAATCCTTAATTTTTTTTATCTCTTAGATAATAAGGCTATAAGTAATTTAGAGCTATGCCTTTTCCTCCTTTTATTAGGCTTTAATAATAATCTCCTCTTATTAGTCTTAAATCTCTTATAGATTAATATTATAACTAAAATCTCTTATTAGCTTTATTCTCTTCTCTTTTTTCTTAGTATTATATCTTTTCTTAATCTAAGCCTAATAATTATTAATATAAGTAATAATTATAGATTTAAGAATTATAGCTTTTATAATAATATTATATATTTAATAAAGTCTAATATATATAGGGGAATTAAAGGTATTATTATAGCGATCTAAGAGTTATTTAGTAATATCTATAGCGGCCTAGAAATAAGATTCCTAAGGAAAGAGAGAAATAAAGGCTAGGTCTATAGCTTATTTCGCCTAAAGCTACTTTTTAGCTAGGTATATTATCGCTAGCTTAAGATTTAATAAATAAATACTTAATTTCTTAAAGCCTAAGATAATATTATATATTATAAATCTTTCCTTAAAGATTTCTTATTTTAATTTAATAACTTTATTAATATAGAAAAAAAAATATAATTTACCTAAAAGCTATAAATAAAATTAGCCTAAGAAAAAGAAATATTTCTCTTTTAAAGCTACTTATTAAGAAGCTTTTAATAGGTATTTTTTAATAGCTAAAAGACTCTAATATTTATTAACTATAATATATATATAAAGTAAAGTAATAAGAGAGTTATAATAATATAGAACTTTATATAATACTCTTTAATAATAAAGACTTTATATCTTATAAAGCTATTAAAGATAATAAATCTCTAGATAATTATATTAAGGGCCTAAGTAATAAGAAGAATATGATATTAAATATACTTTTATATAAGATCTCTAAGGAATTTATTATACCTAAATTATTCTTTAAATATCTATCTTATATATTATACCTTAATAAACTTAGCTTAAGAGCTTTAATTAAAATATATTATTTACTTAAGAGTAATCTTATTATTAAAGAAGGCTATATTAGATTAAGTAAAGTAGATATTAAGATTAATATCTATATATACCTAATCTAATATAGGCTAAATCTTAAAGATAAGCTATAATAATATTATATTATTCGCCGTATTATTTATATTAATAAGGGTATAAATCTTTTAATTAGAAAAAGAGAGAATTTATTTTTTTATTTTTTATCTTATTTATATAATAAGGACTTTAATATTTTCCTTAAAGATCTTAATCTTAATATTAGCCTAATTAATATTCTAATACTTAGAGGTATTAATATTATAATTCTAGATAATCTTAGTAAGGTTCTTAAATTATTATTTAAGGTTATTAAGATTATTAGCTTCCTAGGATTTATAAAATTATTTTTTAGCTTTAAGGAATACCTATTTAAGCTTAAGATAATTATTATAGAAATAAGTATATTATATCTTATTAATAAGATTAATATTAAGGTTCTTATATTATTAAAGGGTTATAATAATATCTTTTATTTTAGGCTTAGAGGTAAAGAATTTAGACCTCTTTATCTAAATAATAAAGACTATAATAGCTTTATCTTTTTTATTTATAAAGACCTATAGTCTATTAACTTACTAAGGTATAAATCTAGTCTTTATCTTTATTATAATCCTCTAAATAGAAATAATAAAAGACCTAAGGTAATATATATTAGTAGTATAAAATAAGAGAGGTTAAGTTATATTAGAGGAAAAGGTTTAATAGAGGCCCTAGGTATACTAGGTATATAATACTATGACTTCCTAGGTGGCCCTAAGATTTACCTTACTTAATATAATAAAGATAGATAAAAAAGAGGTAATTTCTATTAATTTATATTATAAAATATAGCTAAAATAAGTAATAATTATATAAAAATAAGTATATTATTAAGTAAGGGGCTATCTTATAATTTTATAGTTATCTTATAATTTTATAGCTAACCTAGCTTACTAGGTTAGCTCGCCTAGGTCGCTAGACCCATATGAGCCAACGGGTACCGCGTCGGACATCTTCGGGGCTTGTTTCGGACGAGAATAGGAACCGGCAGGGTAAGGTCTGACTCGCCCTAAGTGCCCCCGGACTAATACTAATTAGTCCGTAGAGGCCCCCCCTTTCGTGGCAATAAGTCAAAGTTATTTCCCGCTCTTATCTTATCTACAGCAAGGGCTGCAAGCGTAATAGGCTTAGGAATATGGAATAATAGGACGACAGGCGGTCTCGCATAAACTAAAGTCACCAGTGATCAGGAAATCAAGCTTTCCAGAAAACAGTTACCATAGAATGAATGATCAAGCGTAGCCGACTGGGGGCACGCGACAACAACGGCAAAGTTGCACAAACGGCCCTAAGATGAATACGCTCAACGGCTCGGTCACTCAGCAGGAAAATCCAGTAACAAGATGCATTGGGACGTTCCCTGACGGTGCCAAGTCCTGATGTTGGGTAGAAGACATGGATCGATCAATCTTTCATGTCCTTTGGCGTTGGCCTCAGCGTTCTGACACCGTCGACGCCCCGGGATTCTCAACAACAACCCCAATTACCAGGTGGTGGCCACCGACGGTCGGTGAGAAGCCAGGATGGCCAAGCCAGGCGGCAGGCCGTCAGGAACCAAGACAGGGGCTACTGCGATGGATGAATGACCGCCTCGGGAAAGATGATAGGTTTGTGCGGGAGATTCACCCGACTCTCTCTGGAGAAGGAAAAGACTACTAAGGATGGGGCACTTCGGCGGGATATTGGATGCACTAAGGCGGCTTACTTGGGGATGGGCAGTCGTGCTGTAGGGTTTAACTCTACCCCCTACTCCCTCAAGCACTAGCTATGCCATCCTCGACCCCGGTTCTTTGTTCTCACTTTCAACGAGATATGCGGAGCCTTGGCCGCCCACCAGAACCGTCTGAAGAGTTTGTTTACACTGAAGACTCACCAGCGACCATATACGGCGGCGACATTAACATGCACGTCTAACCACAAGGTACCCCGTGTCTTCTGAAAAATGCCACCGGAATTACTAAATAAATGCCCCCTAGTCTGTAACAAGTCTTTCAACCACGCCTTCAATGTTTTTAAACTCCTCTTCCTTGCTTTGTGCCACTTGGAGATGCCTTTTACACTCAATAACGACAGATGAGCATCTTTCGACCTCCTGAGTGGCCTCAACCAGATCATGCTTTGCTGCGGCGATGCGTTTGTGGACGCGGAAGCTGTACTGATCCAGGTACGCCTGTGATGCTTTGGTAGCACTGACTATTGCGTCTTCGAAATCTGGATCTTGATCCTCTGAAGGGGCCTTCTCCAACCACTGTTGAAACCTCGCTGTTCGGCCACCACTCTTGTCCTTGAGCAACTCGGCAGCTTCCACGGCGCCTTTGGCTACTTGAAGAGTTCCTTCAGCCTGGGATAGGGCCATTTCTGCATCCTGAAGATGGGCAGCAGAACTGGAAACAGCTGACGCTGTCTTTCTGTGGAGTGCACGCAGGAAGTGGTCGCTGAGTGTCGACAGATCGGCCGAGTCTAGGCTGCATAGCTTTTTGTTGCCAGTTCCTTGTATATCTTCCTGCTCCTGAGATATCTTCCGCTTGGCAGGGGCTTCCAGTGAGCAAGTTGGGATGTCACTGGACTGGCTTTGAGGGATAGATTGATCAGCATTCTCGCAGCCGCCAACCAAGTCTTGGTCTATTCCAACCCTTGCCGGCGACATTTCGCAAGCGGACGGATGAAAATCGTTGCAGGTACTCAGGTCGATTGGCTCATGTCGATCCCCCATCTCTAGAACGGGTTCAATGGCGCAGGTCGGTTGGTTTGAAGAAATGTCAGCGTTGTGTGCCGTTGTCCTGGGGATATTTGACTTGGTCAATGTCTCATCCGTGGACCGTTGTTGTGGCTTCAAAGCCGGCCTCAACTCTCGAACAGCTGACAAAGTCTCCAGTTGAAGGTCGTTTAATGCAAGATGCCGGCTGTCTTCAGACAGGAGGAGCCGCAGCAATCTCTGCCGCTCGTTGAAGACTTGAATTGTGTCAGTGACGGATTGATTTCTCAAGAGTCTCTCAAGGGTCATGACTACAAAAATGCCACAACTGGTATAGTCTGACTGCTGAGAGCATGCCTACTGTTTGTTAGTTTTGAAAGCAGCTCAAGGACTTGATGCCATACCGGTGTGATAATCTCAAGTTGTAGGGAGGGTAAAGTTTGAGAGAACCACTGCTCTAACGACTTGGAAATCCTATCCTGGCTTGGGTGTCGCAACAGAGAGTCGTAGATGGAAATGGTGGCTCGCAACCCATCAATGAGAACCCGACAGAGGACCCAATGATTGTAATCTAGATGAATTGGAAGATATACAGCCCGGGCGCTGTGGTTACCAACATCGAGAAGAAAGCTTGGCATCCTTGGTGATGGCGTTTTCGTGTGAAACCAGAGAGGGTCGAGGAGGTGTGGGCGCGAGCTCTCAGATGAGCCAATATCGTGACTTGCCAGCGTGAAACAACAGAGAAGGTGGAGAACATCGTCGGTGAGGCAGGCATCGGCTTGGAGCTGCTCGAGAAGCCTTCTGGCGGCATGCTGGGCCATTTGACCTTTTGTTTTGCCCGCTTCATCCCCATCTTCGTCATCAGAAATGTATTGGTAGTTGGCCATGTCTAGAGACCGGGTTGATATGGCTGGTGATTGATCCCGGGCGCCCTTGTGTGGAGTGGCAATGTCTTTACCCAGAGAAACATCGGGGTCGGAAATATCGGGGTCCGCCGAGAATGTTGGCATTCGACGACCCATTTCAGGGTCTGCAGAATCAGAATCCGGGTGATTGGACTGTGTCTGTGGCGAATGGTCAGGTGGCGTAGACTCTGCCGCGTCTTCCACGATAGCATCAGGGGCCAGGTTCCTCAGTTCGCTGCCCAACTCGCTGGCTCGGCTGTTGACTCCATGAGTCCGTAACAGGTCTTGACGCAATCTTTCAATGGCAGATTTGCCAGCCTCTCGAGTGAATTTGGGCGGATTGCCAGTCAGAGACTCCCAAAGGGGACCTCCCGGCTGCCAAAGCGAAAGAAGCGAAACACTGTTGGATATGGCTAGCTTCGTAACACGCAGTAGCTTGTTGAGCTTGTCGAGATCTCGGACTCCCTTCCCAGCACGAAACTCAACAGGCAGCCATACGTCATCACTGGCGCCCCACGCTTGATCGAGCTCGACCATCTTGCGGTCCATCTCTGCCACGCGCTCGGGAGCCGTGTTCAGGCGTTGACGAACTTCGCTGACGAGTGCGTGAAGCTTGGGGCCTTGCTTGACAAGGTCACCGTATATTTCAGGCTTGCGCGAAGAGGGGTACGATGATATCGCCGCGTCAACGAATGGCCGGATGTCGAGAGGGTCTTGGTTAGCATCGACAGCCTCACAAAGAATGTGCTTGGTCTGCAGTCCAGGGTCAGCCAGGTGACAACAGCTTTTAGCAGAGCAAGAAGACGCACATATGCGTGATTTCCATCTGCATTCACGACAGGATCAAGTGTCGAGCTTCTGTTGAAGCGTTGCGCACGCTGAATCAGTGGGCTTGATGCTGTTTGTGAGTGTGAGTGTGAGGCTGGAGCTCGGGGTGTCAAAGGCGCGACATTGTTTGCACGGGAAGGAGATAATTCGGCTTGCTCATTGTTTGGCGATCTTGTCGCCGCCATGAAGAATCTTTTGTTGACGCCGCCTGATGCTAGAAGTATGGACTTGTGATGATGAAGTTGGAGTGTAGCGCCAGTTGAGGCAAGAGGTCGGGATCCACTTCTACCCCTCCGAGTGCGAGGGGAGAAAGTGGGGTCATAAGTACGTACCTTCCTCCCCACCCCCCCTCTTATCAGTCCCTGAAGTTTACCCTGCAGGCTGCACATCCGGTGTTGATTATGAACGTGGAAGCAGTAGTCTCACTATGTGGCTGTGGTCATGTTAAACATAGCTGCTTGAAATCCGTGTCTAACAGACTGAAGATTTCCACAAGGATCTACTTACGGCCTGGTTTCTTTTCCCTTTTAGCCTTGGGTCTATCCATATCTCGGTAGACACTCCATCGGAAAATAGTCTCCTTCTGAATAAGGAGCCTTTGCTATGGCCTTCTGTTTCGGTGGGATACAGACCGTCTTCCGCCTATGTCTAGCACATTTGTTTTCTCTAACCAGGGTGCCTTTAACCTTGACCGCGTTTTAGGGCATTGGAAATTAATACCGTCGTGTATGAATTATTGGTTCTCTAATAGTGTACTCAATGCTTCTACCTAGATATCTAGATTCACCTTCTGGGTCACACTGGGTTGCCATAGCCATGACACTATGGGGCGTTAGCAGCACCGTCATACTCGCTACCTTGTTGCCAGATTTAACCGGCAGATTCAGCTCATGGCCGTGCTGCTTGATTCTATGATACCTGAATGCAGGACTCCAACTGTCCCTTGTGAACCGTGCGAAAAACACCAAGGTCAGTCACAGGGGACGTTGCACTACCAGGTTGAGTGGGATGTGTAGAACCCCTATATGCTCAAACAAAGTAGCTCCGATGTCCCAAGACTCTATAGAGGGGTCACAAAGCTGTGAGTTCTAGGTTTGGAACATGGTGGTAATTTGTCGGGTGGGTGCGCAAGGCCTTGCTTATGGATATGCTATGCGACTACATCCGTGTTAACAACCAGGTTATTTACGTCGCCGGTTCAAGTGCCTTGGGCATCACTGTCCACGGCCATGGTCATACAGCCCATTCACATTTTAGTATCCCCATGCAGGGGAACTCTGGCGAGGACATCTCGCAGTTATCTCCTTATCCAAGTCATACTGAGCTATTAAAACATGCCACCCTGCCTCTGTGGGCTTGCATGACAAACCATGCCCATCACGGTGTTTCCGTATGTCACACCGGTGAACGGCTGACTAACTGATTGAATAAAAAAAAAAAAGTTTCATCATCATCAACAATGCTGCGTCTTGATTTCTCTCGCTGAAGTCCGGTGCCATCATTCATCGCCTGTCTTCAAGGCCCAGCTCGCCGACTTCAGCCGCTTCAGGACCCTCTCCTCCGTGTCTCGCAGTTGGTCTTCTGCGTACTCCTTAAGTTCTGCCTTGATATCCAGCACACGATCGTTAATCTTGCTATCGGTATAGTCTTCGCCATCGTTCCTGACTTCTTGAACCAGCTCATCGATTTCCTCCCGGTTATATGTGTCTGAAAGACGATGGATTTCGTTTAGCCGCCTATCCACGTGATCCAGGATATCATTCTTGATTTCTCCTAACATCTCCTGCAAGTCCTTCTTATACAGAGAAAACATGTCCTTGACGGCCCTGGGGCATATTGACTCGACATCAAATGGATCGGGACTCTTTCTGCGTCGTTTTCTTGAGGAACGAGCGGGACTGGGGTGATCTTTCCAAAAGCAACCATTAGTACAGTAATTACACCAGAAAAGAAGATCAAGCTCGTACCTTGATGGGGAGGAGGCGGTGGGGTGGTGCCACAGAGCTCGTTGTATGCCGGGGGGAACGCGGTTGGCGGGGACGGGGGCGATTCAGCGGCAAGCACAACGCCACCCTTGCCGGCGTAAAGAGAATCCAGGTTGGCGTACTGGGCAACAGACCTGGCCCTTGGGGAGGCGGCAAGGTCGCAGACAGTACGGGCAGTGGCATCTTGGAGAATGCCGTGATCGAAGTAGATGTCCAAAGATGTTGCTTGCGATAGGAGCTTTAGGCTATCCAACTTGTCGCCATGCTCTCTCTGCCTTCTGGGCGCCAAGGGCCCCTTGGGTACGACTAGTTGGGGGGGTTGATGCAGCCGGAAACTTAGACAAGTGGTCCTGGGTCCAAGCTGCTCGCGTACAATCTGGTGCAGCTCATTTGGGCATCCGACTGTCAATTCGGCGATGGTCTCGGGAGGGATGTGCAAGAGTAGTGTCGTGACATTGGGCACACTCTTAAGTTGTATTGGGACCCGGAGCTGGAAGAATGTCGTCTTGTTGAAAACATTGTAAGAAATGCGAAACGTGACACGGCGTGATGCATCTTTGGTATGGTCGTGATAGAGGCAACGCGTGTTCTCGTCAGCGTCGGGCCAAGTGACGACTGCTTGAGGAACCTCGATATCGATATCATCCGAGGGTGATGATGGGAATGCGGTGGGCTTCGGAGCAATGTCTTGGGTTCTAGGTGACAGAAGCGTACGTTAGCAAATCTGATCCGAACAAGGGCAACCATAGAGTATTGTATCCAAACGGTGCAAGAACAAGAACAAAGCTCATTCGAAGGAGAAGCCGTTGATGCGATTCCCAGCGACCGAGATAGCTTTCGCAACAGGATACAGAACCCACAGGACGACTCAATGGCACCCAGACAAGCCAGTCCCACACCCTCAGGCGACACACAAGGACAAATCTTGCCCCCGCGAGCCCCTTTCCACCCCCGGAATTACCCGTAGCTTGGCAGTGGATGGCTAGGACCAACTTGTCTAGAGTGACTGCCATGTGCGATGCAGGACTCCACTGAGCAGGGTGCGTCCAGGATACCTTGGAACTGACCCTTGTGCTGGAGCTTCCATGGCATGGATGAATGAATGAGCCAGGCTCCGTCGCGGAATACAAATCGGCAAGCAGGTTGAAAAGGATGAAAGGGGTGAATGCGTGCTGCGGTGAATGAGGCGGGAGGATATGAGATAATGGAAAGAAAGATAAAAACGGGAAACTCCCTTTGAGAAGGATAAGCTGGTGAAGGTGGTAGGCCGCGCGGGTGGGTGAATCGAGTAGGCCTCAAAGGTGAATGAGGTGAATGATGAAATAAAGACAAAAACACTCGCGACGACGTGAAGGAGGAACGCGTCATACAAGTGAGGCCTAGCGCGTCGGTGAATCAGGCAATCAGGCAGAAGTAAACAAAGCAAATGATGAGATAAAGGCAATCATGGCGAGGGGGAAACGGAGAAACGCGTTGTCCAAATGAGGCAGCGCATCAGTCAGTGAACAAGACCATCAGGCAGAAGTAAATGAGGCAAGTAATAAGGTAAGAATCGGAGCACTCATGATGAGGAGGAGGAGTCATGGGAAGAGGAGATGGAGATGGAGATGCGATGGTGAAGCAGCTGAGGATCGAAGTGAATGCGGGAGCCAGTGAACCGGGACGGGAGCGGGGCGGGGGCGGGGGCGGGGGCGGGGTAGAGTGGAGTAGGTCATGTGATACCTTCAGCCTTTGAGATGCCCGAGGCTGAGATAAAGCTGCGCCACAGAGATTTCAAGCCACACATTTTGCCCTTGTCTCAGAAACCGCTTCACTTCAGCAGGAACAGCGAGTTTATATTCGGGGTCACGCTTCTGTTACAGACCCTGGGAGGGGTCTTGGCTACGAGGGTGGAAGATAATGAGTGAATCAACGAACGGTCATGGTTTGATAATATACCTTGCCGTGACCCGACCCTGAGGCCGTGTGCACTAGGACGGTGGTTCTATATCTACGCTCCAAGGATTCCTGGCTCCATGGGCCGGCGAGCCGTGGTATCTTCTGAAATGCAACGCTGATTATTCTAGTCTATGAGCTACTGCCTGAGTTCAGAAGGCTCTTCAATATCATCATGTTCTCGTGGTACCAGCAAAGCCTTCTTCAAGCTCCAATTAACATTCGCAAGGAATTCAGCACCATTCGCGTCTGTAAGATACCCAGTGTACGATGCAGGCGTCTCCCAGCCATTCACTACATGGCGGGACGTCCTCAGTCGCTTGCAAACCCGCGGAGATTCTTCCCGAGACATGTCTTCGACCAGCGGCGGCGTCTCAAGATCTACGTCATCATCCTGTCTAGACCTCTGTCTCTTAGCAGGGTCGCCAGGCGCAGCTTGGGATGTGGACGAAGCTCCGCCTCCAGATGTGTCGTGCAGCCCCGGTGACGGGAGAGCCGGGACCTCAGCTCCGGCAGCAAACGGCGATACGGTGCCAGACGCTATAGACGACCGTTCCATCAGTGGTGCCTTTGCCGCCATGTTCTCGATACAGCACATCTCGTAATGGTGGCGCAGTGCACCGCGGTCGACATTGACCGGCACCTGGGCCTTTTTTCCATGGTAGTCGAGCACGACGTCGTATGGAACGAACGCACGGATGCGCAGCGTATCGGGATGGATGGAAAACAAGCGCTGGTCGAACGAGTCGTGCAAATGGCAGAGTAGTAAGATCCCGTTGTCGGCCGACCACGTGTTCCTCCAGGCCTCTTCCAGGCGCCTCGAGCTATAAAAGACATCGGCATCGGCGAGATCACTTAGCCCGTCCGGGTCCGGGTACACGTGGTAGTGCTGTTGCGGGACGATGTGGCACGCCTGCAGTGCAGGCCCGAAGCTGGGCGCCGGGCACCACGAGCGGCCCCGAGCGGACACGGCACATTGAACGGCAGCGGTGAGGCAGCTAGCTCGGAATATGTCCATGGTCTTGCGGGCTTCCTCGGCAGTGATGGGCATGTCGGGCGGCGCCGTCATGGCGCTGTCGTCGTTGAGTTCGCCTGGTAAGTCTCGGACAGGAGACACGGAGCCGGATTTCCGTTTTGGCGACTGGGATGGTTTCTGGGCTTTTACGGTTCGGCGGAGGGGAAAGCGTGTTATGCGTGCATCTGTCGAGGGTTTTTTCGGGGGGAGGTATCGCGGATCTCTTCGACGAGGGGGTCTTGGTATCGGTTTCGCGCAGCCAGCTGTTGATTCATTCATTAGCGAAATCAAGACGAGTGCCATCTGTGAGCTACCAACCTTTGAGATGATCTGCGAGCGGGGAGGAGTTGTTGATGGTGCAAGGTTTGTGGTGCACGAGGTGATAGCGCACAATGGATCGCGCGTCTGGTGACTGAGATGGCGGCGGCGATGGCACGAACTGATCGAGTTCCGCCTCGCAAATAAGGGTTGTGGTAGGAGTGTCGGCATCGGTGTTGAGGTAGCCTCCGAAAGCAAAGGCAAAGGGCCAGCTGCAAGGCAGGTCAAAGCAGAGAGCCAGCTCGTCGAGAACGTGCTGCCACTTGATGGAGTCGTTGCCATCGTGGAGGTAGAGCCCAGCAAAATTGAAGCCGGTGCTGCCGGAGAGGATGTGGACGTTCCAGCCGCGGGCGCGCATGTCCGGGATCACGGCCGAGTTAGACATGGCAGCGGTAGAGAAACAACCTGAATATCTACAGTTCCGCAAAAGATGGCCAAGAGGTAAACAGGGTCTTAGTGCGAGGGTTTCATGTCGGTGTCCTCAAATCGTTGAATGTGATGATGATGGTAAGTTTGTTGATTGAAGGGAGACCTGACCTTATCGATAAGAAGATGATTTGGCGGGGCAACGGCACGTGACAGGGCTATTGGCCCCGCTTCCCATGGTCGTCGAATGCGATTAAAACACTGGCTTTAGCTGTTTTCTTATAATATCTATATATTAGCCTTCTATAAATTTGAACTATTTTTATATTATTTTTTGCCTGACTATTTTCTGCATCTAGGTACTTTTTTTTCTTTTTTTTCACGCGCTGGCACTTCATAGAGATGTGCCCACGTCTCTGGAACTAGACTAGCCGCTCTAATCGTAATATTTAGCCTTGTTCACAAATCATCCTTTGAGCTGAGACTTAATGCATCTTCTGAGAGCAGACAATCTTGAGTTTGAAGAGTTTCGCAGCGCCCATGTTTCTATGTGTGTGATACTAACCCACTGCTCGGAGCAGGATGAGCTCTCATACCAAGGCATGAGCAGAGTAGTCGAGCATGGTAACATGGGGCCAGAAATGAGACATATTCACAAAATGCAAGGCTACCACGAAATCTTCCACTTCAGTCGCTAGGCATTCAAGAAAGGTTATGAACATACATAGGCTGACACCTGTTGCATCGATAAATTTAGTAGCGCTGAGCACTAAGAAGCCACCAACTCGACGTTTCAGTTGTGTGAGTACCCTAGAGTCTATTATGCTCACCTTTGCGGTGCTTCTATTCCTACTCACGGCTGCATCCTACTTGGCGGAGGCCTGTATGAAGCAGGATGTATCAAGTCCTTCAAGGTGTCTCGATGCTTTACTCGGGCTCAGATACAAGAACTCCCTGCTCCGCTGAGTGTGTTATTTTTTGAGCACAGTTGCAAGAGATGTGACATTGCTAGTGACTTATATAAAGCCATCAACACAATTACAGGCATAGACGCCCCGGAGGTCGTCAGAGCTGTGAGCAGATATAGTCCCAGGTTCTGGCAGCTTGGAATTGCGAGGTGTATGTCCTCGGCCGCAAACCAGCAGACCAATCTAGTCGAGGATCGAGACTATTCGTTCCTTAGGCTCTTCGATCTCAACATGCCGTTGATCTACGGAGAGAGAGAGCAAGCATGCATTCCATCGTCTATAAGAAGAAATCATCAACGTCAATGAGGATACCTCCATTCTAGCGTGCGGCTTTACCGAAGCTGAGGCAGGATTTGTACCTGATGACCTAGTCAGGTCACCTGCTCAATTCTGCAAATACCCGAACCTAATAAACCTCAAGAGCTTCAGTTTGCGTTGTGGGTTTTAATCCAACAATGATGCTACTATGAGGCCTCCAGGCGACAATGAGGATCAGGATAGATATGAACAAATAGGTCCTCGTATACGCTAGTTTGAAGCACTGGGATAGGCCATGCTCACCGTCTCTGGGCATGAAGGGCAGTGCTCATCTTGACAAAGCGGAAGCCAGCTGGCTCATGACGCGAAATAGACAGACAGCCAACTCCGCCTAGACATGGCTGACATGTAACCATCCTGTGGATACGACCTGAACTGTTGAGTAGGCTTCTTGTGTTGCAACAACCCTATTGATAGGCCCTATGCGGCACCAACCACTGACTCACTGAGTCTATGGAGTCAAGACGGATCGACTGAGACACGCACAGCCGTGCACGAGGCAAGCACAAGTTCTCATCGAAGTCATTATGAGAAAGCGAGGATATTATTGACAGTATCATGACTGGGCGTGGCTTAATGAACTGCTTTTGGCGCAGTGATGGGCGGGTTAGGTGAAATGGTAAAGGATTGATGTTAGCAACAATACGCAACACAACATATTGACGTCTTGCCCCGCTCCCTAGCAAGGGCTGGGCCCAATACAATGAATAAGAACACAATACGTGTTTGTTCGGGGCATTGATAAATGATTTGGTGTGCATGCTTTGGATCCGAAAGAGCTCGCGATGACCTGGCCGCTAATCAGATGACATTGTCCCCTCAATGAGGCATACCCTTGACTTATCCCACATAAAATATAAGTATTCCACCAGCAATCCGATATAGTCAATACGTTCTATCCCTGAGAGGGCATCTGCCTGGAAAAATAAGACAACAAACGTCGTACCCCAGGGTTTAATAGTTCATGAACACTAGCTTGATTCTCCAAATAATACACGCCTCTAGGGTAGCTAGTTCATCTCTTTCAACCGATGCGGTCAGAACAATATCCTTCTGCATTTAAACCCAGCGAGGGTGGCATGAATATGGTAACATCCTATCTTTCCTTAGCTCACCCTACACCTCAGAAGGCATGTAAGGCATCGACTAGTGGTATTTAAACGGCCAGAACGTGATCTAAAGGTTATTTGCGGGAAGATCAAGTATAAAAGCGCTTTTGTGGATTATATAAAAAACGTAATCTAGGTCTTAAGGGAATTAACGCAGATATAGTTGTGATAAGAGAAATATTCACGTAATACGACATGAGAAAGACGTCCACGTCCAGACATTGAGATTTGTTTTCATCCCTTGAGCCATCGGAACCATTTTGGTGAGTTGAAACTGTCAAATGAAGCTCGTTTCTCAACACGGTGTTGTTCTCGTGGAAGAAAGTATGCATGTTTCAATAGAGAGAATCTCCAGGCCTTACCACGTGAAAGTTTCACACTTGACGATGCCGAATTTGATAGCTCTAGCACTCAGCGAGCAAGGTACGCGTCCTAGACAGCTTTATTCAATTCCGGAACTATACAAGTCGCATGTGGACTCTGAGGCCAGGTGGGCAATGGGAGCAGCTTCGAAGACAGACGACTTCATGGCCTAGGGACTCCAGGGAGGCTTTTTGGATAACATCATTTCTTAATCCGCGCGGGACTCTCGCCCATATGAGCCAGTGCTGGACTTTGTTCTAGACAGCTTTCCCAGTGAGGCCAGAGATTGCGACGTCACCTACGCGACCATCGATAAGCCCTGTATCTGAAGCCGCAGAGCCGGCATCGATATCTAGACCGGGATGGCCGACTGCTGTTTCATTTATACAGCGCCATACAAGATGCCTAACCGTCAGCTACATATCGCACGAGCCTATGCGAGAGTGACCCATCCATCATCGTCCACATGTCAAAATCGTCGCTCACAGTCTAAGGGATAACCCCGGAGGTCACGTAGGCAGACGGGAGTAGCTGCTCTACTCGGTGAGACACTGAGCTGACAAGGTGGGCATTGTCGAGAACTTCTCGACCAGCCACATGTGAGCACTTCCTGTACGTTGCAGAATTGCTACTGTCTTTCTATGTTTAGGCTTGTCAATTTCGTAAGGAAACCATGACTAGGCAATATTTTGACTATGAAAAGTGCCTCTACTGTGCAAGATTGTATGACAGCTACTGGCGCTATGTTTAATCTTCATATACAATGAAGTTGTAGAACATATAGCCAAGCGAAGTAGAAATTACGCGCCTAGCTATCTTATTCGCATGTGACTTCCCTTCTAATACCCCATCCATAAGATGAACCAGCATCCCCGCTCTCTTGGGCATGGCTTTGCCTCTTCCATATCCAGATGGTCTCGCCGAGTGGCCCAAAATAAGAAGAATGCACTGGTCAACAGTTGCGGCCTGAATGTGATCAGAGAGATCTAGGATCCAAGAGCGCCGCTCCAAGAAAAAGGTCTACATGTGGTGAACTTTATTGCCTTGACGAACAGGAGTAATTATGTTCTTGTTATAGTCAAAGCCTGGTCTTTGATGGGATAACTGAGCCGAAGAATGGAAGAAGTTAGTCGTATGATAAAGCAATGTTGACCACAAAGAACGGGGATATACTCAATGTAAAGAGTTTACGGAAGCTGAGAGGATAGCTGCTGCGTAAATCCCTCTCCAGAAGATGAAGCAGCAGCAGCCATCTCTTACCAAGGCATCCTGCCGATACGTGCGCAGTATCGAAAATTGAATAGTGACTACCGAGTTACCGATCGACTTTATCTTACATCCGATGTGGCCCGACACCACCTTTTTCTTCTTTGTTGCGTTTTTGACTTTGTATAGAATCGTGTCTCCTTCTCTAGACACCTGACCCCTTAGCATATTTTGATTCCCTCTAGACAAGAGCATATGCAGAGTACTCATGATCTTGATGTTCCCATCGCTAGCTTCGCAAAATTCCTTACGTAGCGCAATACAGATTCGTTAGATTAGCGATAGCTAATACCTTAGTCTTAGTCCTTCATCTATTCTTTTCCTCTGTGGTCGCTGAAGTGCCTTATTTGCCGCCAAGAGTCAACGGTTCGAGATTTCTCGCATGGAATGAATCTTGGGCTCGGCCGTTGATCGCCATTGTAACTCTCACTCGGGACATACTTTAAACGCTGGAAATTTGTTACACGATGGCCAAGATAGTGGTAATATCCCAAATACGCGTATGACCTTAGCTCCGGCGGGATAGGCTGCTTGCTTAGCTCCAGAGCTCTGCTAGCGTACGAAGGAGGATAAAGACAGGAGTTCGCATTTTCTGATTCGATGCCGATGGATAACTGTAGGGTTATCCTAGACCGAAACGCTTATCGGGTATGGCTTCGGCCACTTGGTCCGTATTAAAAAGACTGTCTTCTATTTTTAAAATAAGTAAATCATAGCTGAACTATATGTTATAGTTCCACCATGGGCTATGACCAAACTATAGATCATGGTCTAACCATTAGGTATGGTTAGACTATAGACCATGGTTCAACCATAAGATATGGCTTCACTATGCACTATTGCTAAGATATAACCCTTAAACCCATGAAAGCAGCCGAGGTCTCTGTTCTTACGTTACTACCTCTCTAACGTAATTCTCCTTTCCAGCGCGGAGTGGTTTATACGAGGCGCTTGCCGGAGCCTCGAGTATTGACGGCGATATTATCGCGTCCTTTTCCAAGCTCAACAGCATCTTACTCTGAGAGGAGAGGACAGTTGCATCTATCAAACCTAAGAATACTTGGGGTACGATGTTCGGGGAGCTGACAAAATCTGATATCACTATCGTCGGCCGCGAAAAATTCACATGGTTGACCGCTCTTGTTTAGCAGATGATGAAAATAAAGTTCCAGAAAGACAGAGCTCGACCATTGAAGCAACAAATTTTCACGAAATCGCAGATGATTCAACGCGACAATCCGGCAGCACTCTGCTATGGGCGGCCCTAGTGACCTCGCAAATACGAGCGTTATACGGGGCCAAGATCATTTAGTGTTACGTATACTAGGGCGATCCTCGAGAGCGTCTATGCTGAGGCGATAGTGCCTAGAAGGGAACAAGACCAAGTCACCAAGACGTTGAAAGCTTCTTGCACTGGAAGTGAAAGGTGAAGCCATGCCTACTCACTGCGACGTAACGCCACGTTCTTCCAAGGCAGTACGCAGCCACCCCAGTTGCTCATCCTGCAAGGTACAGCCGAACTATCCTTCATGAGTCTGTAGAGAAATCTCTTCTTTGCGTGTGGTTCGCCATGTGCGATTCAGCGGTATGAGATAATGCCGAATCTGGCAAGTACCATCATGCTTTCTACCAATGGGTAAGGGAGGGAGTTGGATACCCGCAGCTGGAACGGAGAGGAGCCGAGTGCTGATGCTGGAGCTGCCATTTCACACACCGCCGCCAACCAATGGATGGTCGATAGGGTTGAACGGTGATTTTGTTCTACATCGAGTACGTTATAGACTGTCTTGTGGATCCCGTCAAGGCTCCCCTGATCCTCCAACGAGATCTTTCTGGATACGTTTTAGAGCAGCCCGAGGAAAGTACAGGAACAGTGTGTTCAATTTCAAGATGCTAGTCTGTGATTCTCAGGGGGTAACATTTGCTGTGTCCATCAATAGTTCTGGTGCATTTGAGTCTACAGTTACAAGAAATAGATCTGATCTAACAGCGCTCTACGACCATATCTTTGAGCGAAAAGAGTTTACGAATATCCATGACGTTCGTGCCTTAGTTTCGAATAGTAGATTAGTCTCGAGCTTCCGGCATAGAAAATTGACCAAGAACTTCCCACCACGGCCTCGATAAACATGGCTGGATTGGGGGAGCTTTCAAAGTTCCAAGGGACGATCCACCAACTTAACTCAAGCTCCGTTAAGTATGGATCCTGAAAGATAGAAGAGAGTGTGTGTGTCATATCAATTTCAGGTACGCTATCGATTCTTTATGGTACGTTTATACTAGGTAGATAGGCTCTACATCTGCCATCTATCTTTGCCCCTGAGTCTGTGGAAAAGCGATTGTGCAGTGGCAGATGGCATTACCACCATCCATATTGGATGTGACTTACAAGAATCCTACCCACCATGAAGAGTTTTGGACGATAGCTTCAGCTGAGCTCGTAGGGACAGCAAGTCGTGGCGCAAGCACAAGCAGTGGGAACTAATTCGACCGTTGGGCTGCGCTGCCGTGGTTTTCTACGTTACACGCGGCATGGTTGCCCATACGGAGGTTAGAGCAGCTAAAATACCCGTGAGAGGTTAGACTTTCATGATGATATAGCTAGGTATGACTCTTCTACTGCTACAGAAGTTTAATAGGCCACCGTATTAATATCGGGTTATAATATTATATTATGTTTAAGATTTATTCTTTATTATAGTTATAGCCCGACCCTTAATGGGTTAACTAAGCCCGAAGATCGTTGCCCGTATAGGCACGCTCCAAAAGTATAGAGCCAATGGAATATGCCAACTACCACCCTACAGAAAGCCTTGGTGCTCTGGGAGGACAGGCCTTGGGTTGTATATAGAAGCCCCTAGACAGGTACATGTTCCGCCCCCAGAGAAAACTTTAGATACCTAAAACTCAGTCACTTACTCGTCCATATGCATCACGGCTGCCATCGCAAACATGGATTGCTCGCCTACCGAAACGAGTTATCTGTGTTCAAAATAATTTCTTCAGCCTAACGCCATCAGCTACATCACCGAAAATTGCACCATCAAACAACAGCTTCATAGGGCGTCTTTTCAACTTGAAAACCCAAGCTGCCTCCCGCCCAAACTCTGCTTTTGAAATTCTTCGCTTTTTCTTTCGACATCCGCATCTTCCCCTCGAAGTACGTCGGATAGCTTCTAGTTTTTTGATGACATCGCTCTCAGCCACATAAGCAAAGGACACACTTACTTATGTGGCTGACAGCGATGTCATCAAAAAAACTAGAAGTCGGGTGGCTTCTTCTCGGAACCATCTTCCCTGATGGCTTACGAGCCCCCCTTTACCTTCCTCTTATCGCCTTCCAGTTCAAGCTCCTTAATTGAGTTTCAGTAAGATAGCGCTAGGAGGAAAGGGGGTCTTTTCTTAGCACCTCCGCTCTGACTTGGTTACAATCTGCCATCAGCCTTGTCTTTGACCTGTAGATGCTCCCAATCCCACTATTTCGGATTCATTCACTCCATATACACTGGAGGAAAGATGTGGGGGCCGGGCTGATGCTTGTTGTTGCTTCCATGTATGTTTTCTTCCATCGCCTGTGACACCGAAAATGCTGTTAACTTGACGTAATGTCACCGCTGTAAATCTTGTCAGTTTGAGGTCCTCACTCGAACTTACACCGGAAGGGTCAAATCCAACTTGGGAATATGCCAGTACAGCATAATACCACACACAACCAAGACATCAAACAAATAACCGCAAATGACCTGTGGTGACGATGCAAAGAAGGTAATTCAGGGTCTCTTGCGACTGAGATGGGTCGAGATTAGTGTCAATCCCAGAATAGGTGTCTGGGATAGGACACCTTCTGGCGGAACATAATAGAGGAGTGACATCCGCCAATCTCCGTACATACTACTTGCATGACGGTGGTAACACTCCTTGCGTCTGATCGGACGTTGCTCTGGCCTAATGCAAATACTGTCGTGGTTAAGGCCGTTGTACCTGCTATTCGGACGAAGATGTCGACGTATCTAGGAGCGGGTGAGTTAAGAAGCCCGGTTATGGATAGCTCGACAATAGCGATGCCGTACTTGATAACGGCGAATGGACTTTGGATCGGGGTATTATCTGATACCCCTGAGATAGATATGGGGCTAGCGTTGGCAAACGCAACCGGAGGGGTGTAGAGGTGGAAAGCATCCGCCTGGGGTAAGTTGAGTGTAGGATGGGAGATTTATAAGAAGTAAAGATAGTTACATAGCCCATAGGAGCATTATATGTATGTGATGCCTGTATCACCGGGTTAACTTCAAAGATCCGAATGAGCCCCTTAGCATACATTGCCCAGATCTGAGGCTCTTTGACGACACTGAGAACCACCATCCACGTCACCATGCCACTCTTGGTTTCCCCACGCTGCTCAGTCAAGCAACTTGTCGTGAGGGACTTCCTATCTTCATATAGGAACTTGTTGCGGCTGGAGACGGGAAAATTAAGGAGTACGGCGGAGGTTCTTACTACAATGGCATAAGTGATGGCCTCTTGGATTTGAAGATCCAACGCTGCCACTGCCGTTGTAATTGACAGGAGACTTGCGTCATTCCACACGCAAGAATACTGGCAAAGGAAGAAATAAAGAGCAGGAAATTAATATAAGACGACGATGGCGCGGTAATAAGCTAGCTCTCAGCTGAGCGGAAAGTAGTAGTATACCGCCACGGGTTCTGAACGTCGTATCTTGAATAGCAAGATGAGATTACATAGATGCACTCAGGAGAAAGACTTTATGTAACTGCTAAGCTTACGCAACAGTCTCGAAAGCCAGACAAGGCACTCACTGCATCTACGCATCCAAGTAACACGCGAAGCACAAGCAAAGTAGCGTAGTTCTTGGCTAGTTCATGCCCACCTTCTGGACCCCGGAGATGACCGTGAACACGGCCAACTAGATTGGCATACCGAATCTTTGCAGGACAAGGTTGCTTGGGAGCAAAAAGAAAATGTAAGCCACGTAAAATACGAAGACTACTGCAGTGAGCAACGCGCAGCAGGGTCTCAGTAGGCATATATACTGGTAACCGAACGTCGATTCTTCTGATCGAGACCAATATCTTGATCTATGGCGGACACCGTCGTGTCGCTAAACTGGTACGATCTATCGGGGGCGTGGCGTTTACAGGCGTGGGCATCGGGATCAGGCATCAATTCACTCTTCATCTTTGCAATTAAATCACTGGGGGAGGGGGGTTTGAACGCTGAGTAGGAACCGCCTCCTTACTATATATGCTTATTGGCTATAGCGAGGGTATGACGGGAGGATAATTCCTAAGGGATAAACTAGTCGTGAGGGTTTATATTAATACTAGATTAGGTTATATAGCCTTAAAGGGTAATATAAGTTATATCTAATAATATACTTAAAGGTATTAAGTATAACTAAGTTATATTAATAATTAAGGTAATTATTATAAGAGAAAATATAATAAATATATTTTATATATTTATAGTTAATCTTTAGATTAATATTCTCTAAGTTTAATCTAAGGTAAGATTAATACCTTTAATATTTAGTCCTTAGATTAATGCGGGTAATATTTAGTCCCTTTAGTCCCTTGCTTAGTTAGAGTATTTCTATTATATTTCCCCGCTTGGCCTATGTTATGGCCGTGATAGAGGGAAGCACCTCGTTCAGCTTAGGACGCGGTGCCCTTGAGTGACATTGCATTGAAGTCCCTCGCATGCCCCGGATGGCTAAATTTGATCACTGCCATCGCCTACGTTTGGCAACGCCGAACACGGATGCTGCTGTGCCGTGCTGACGATTGTTGCCAAAGTTAAACAAGATGCTGGACCCGAAGGTCGACGTGTCCGAGATGAATAATTATTATAACTAGTTATAACCTAAAATAACTAAAATATCACGCTAAAAGTTTAATAATACTAAACCCATATTATTACCCCCCCGTCTTTATATATTATCTTTATCCTTTAATTTCTTAATAATAAGAAGTCTAATAAAGCTAAAAAGTATATTAATTTAAAGCCCTTAATCTATAAATTAATATTTTATATATTAACCTCTTGCCCGATATATAGCTTTAAGCCGGCGCTCTATTAACTATATTAGCTTCTTAATAAGGCCTAGATCTAAGGTATCTTATACTTCCTTAATCTATAACTTTATTTTTTTAATATTAAATTAAATTTTACTTAGCCTAATAAATTTAAGGTATAATCTTTATAATATAGACTTTAAAGCCTTCTAAAGATACTTTATAGGGTTAAGATTAAGTAAATAAGTTAGCTAATTAATAAGCCTAAGACTATAAAGTAATAATTAATCTATTAACTTCTTTAAAATATAAATATAGGTATTATCTTATTAAAAAAGCTTAAATTTATTAAGAAAAAGAAAAAACCCTTTTAATAATACTTTTATATAGCTCTAGCTTATATATTTATTCCTCTTAGCCTCTAGATCTCTTATTATAATAATAAGATTAATCTTCTTCTTTCTAGCTATATTAGCTTATATTATAATAGATTAATAAGCTTTTCTATATTATTAAATATTAATTAGGTCTTTCTAAAGCTTCTTATTAAGTTAATAAAAAACTTAGCTATCTAAGTTATTTAGGATATTCTAAATTATATATTTATCTATAAAATAGGCCTATAGAAAAATTAGTAATAAAACCCCTTATCTTTTAGGGCTAATTTATTAATAAAAGCTTATTAATCTAAGAGAGTTAATACTTAGTAAATTTAAGCCGCTCTTTTACCTTATCTTTTAATAATATAATATATCTTTTAAATTATTATTTATAGCGCTAATAACTCTATAATTATTACTAAAGGGTCTTTTCATTAATATTTAAATTAAGCTCTAAAATTAGATTATTTTATATTAGGTATTAATATTAGTTAATAAAAGAATTAATCCTAATAATCTATATAGCTATAAGCTTTTTTAATTACCCTTTATAAGGCTTTAAGTAATTATAATAGTATTATTTTTAGTATTATTTTATGCGATAGATTATAGCTAGATCTATGCTATAGTTATCTATAATATCTTAATATAATTTACCTATATATATTATTACGACCTAATAAAATACTTATTATATAACTAGGGAAGACCCTACTATTACCTACTAATTAGGATATAATTACTATTAAAACCTAAGTAATTATAGTAATTACTTATATAATTACTCTAATTAATATCCTAAGGATAATAATTAAAAAAAACCCCTTAAGTATATAAAATATATCTATTATACTTTCTTATATAATAATTACCTTAGCTATTAATATAACTTAGTTATATTTA